CAATTCCAAGGACACGTTTACAACCGTCGAAAAACTACGACAAACACGCTGAAACAATCAGCAACACAGCTTTCAGCCTACAACGGCTTAACGGCAAAGCACTAAAGTACAGCTTCCGACTCGGTCAATCGCTCTCGAGCTAATCTCAGAACTCAAGATACTACTACCACGAGTACAGGCAGGGTATATATTGCTTTAACCTACCTTCGAGAATATTCCCGAGAAAACCGCTAAGAATCCTTTCTAGAATGTTCTCGCTCCGACTATGGCATAGCCTCAATTTTGTCGCCAAATGTGTGATTTCGTTCCAAATGTGGAAAGCCTGCCCTTTCCTGCCACTTTCTGGCAAGTCTAACCTAGCTGAGTATTTCGCAACGATACGTTTACCAACTAAATCTCGTATTTTCCATCTTAGTTAATTTGGGTATAATTGAAACTGCAGATATCGGATTTCCCAATTTGATGTCCTTTGAATATTAATTATATGTACCGATTGAATAAATATTGGAATTTTAAAGTATTTATTACATTTGCACTGCATCGAATTACAAATTAAACCTCGTCATAAAAAATTAAAATCGTCATAAAAGCCTAATGATAACAATTAAATATTTTTCAAAGTATCTGTAATAATGAATCTGACAACACATGCACAGATTCCTGCTGCAGTCTACCTACCAATTTTAGATCTCTTTTTGGAAGCACGCCAGGAAAGTTTAATTCTTATTTTAAATGGAGAAAGGAAAGTTTCTAGGATTTCCTCTTCCATGCACACACTAACATGGGAGAGTAAATCTTTATTATTTACTGGAAAATTGTTATCCTTTTTAATCCAAAAGAGGAATTTGCCCTGAAGAACTATTAATTTCGTTTTGGCATTTTGCGTGGAAAACTTTAAAAGGCTGTGTTGCACGTGGTTGCGGCTGTGTGCAACAACAAACTATGCGTATTGGAATTTGCCAGTGCTTTTAAGGATGAATTCATAACATGCCATAAAAGCCAATTTTTTGATAACAAAAACATTTAATCACATCACAATATTAAAACTTAATTACTACAGTCGATAGACAGTCACGTTGGAGGAAAGCGAGCGACCAACCGCACCGACGGCGAGACGTGACTGTGTGTCGCCGAAAATCACCTTCGGTTACAGTTAGTGATAACGGCGAGCGGTTGACAAGTACAACACATGTTTACAGAGTCGCCACACTACTCCCCTCCAGTGGCAACGAATTAAAGGTACCGAGGGTTAAATCGGACTCTACGTCCGGAACGTGTATACTGAGGAGCACTTGTTTTCTGGGATCCAGGCACAGGAACTGACGTAGTAGCAGATGTTAGTGTAGACCCAATAGATGAAGGTGCCTTCGAAGGAGGTGGGACTGATGTACCAGTCTCGACAGTTTGTGGTGCTAAGATAAAGGCTGGTTTGAGACGATCAAGGCTCACCACTGTCTCTTTGTCGCCGATTAGTATCCGATAGTTCTTGGATGTGCGACTTAGAACTAGGTGTGGGCCTGTATAGGTAGGCTCCAAGGACTTTTTTGATGCATCACACCGTAAGAACACATGTGAGGATGTAGCGAGTTCTTTAGGAACAAACACAGGTCTTGAAGAATGTATGCTTGTGGGCTTATGGTGTAATGCAGCCATGGTTTCACGCAATTGTTTGAGGAATGCATGGGGCTGGACATTGGGTGAGTTTTTGCGGGATTTATAAAATCTCCCGGTAAACGTATATTGGTACCATAAACCATTTCAGTACTTGAAGAACCCAGTGAATAGCAGTATGGCATCTAATGGCCTGTTTAAGAGAGCGATGGAACCTCTCGACAAGTCCATTGGAATTCGGGTGGTACGGTGATGTACGGATCTTTTTAGTTCCCAAGAATTTTGTTAATGCAGTAAATAATTGAGATTCGAACTGCCATCCTTGGTCCGTGGTAACGTACTCGGGTACCCCAAACCGTGAAATCTATACAGAAAAAAAAGGCTTTTGCCACAGTGTCGGCTGACATATCTACAATAGGGATAGCCTCTGGCCAACGTGTGTATCTGTCGACACACGTAAGAAGATATGTATAACCTAGTGATGGGGGTAAGGGTCCAACCAAATCGATATGTACGTGGCTAAAGCACGCAGATGGTAACTCAAAGCGTTGACATGGAGTTCGAGTGTGCCTGTGAATTTTTTGATTTTTGACAGTCTGTACATGACCTCGCCCATGCAGCGATGTCCTTCTGCATACCAGGCCATACAAAACGCTGTTGAATTAACGTGCGAGAAGCACGGATGCCAGGATGGGATAAATTATGGAGGCCGCTAAAAATACCATGCCGGAATTTCAGTGGAATGTATGGCCGCACCACATTACCTTGCACATCGCAGTACAGTGAAAGATCTGGTTCTAACTGCATAGGTACTAAATTAAGTCCATGAGAAGACTTGTCAGACAAAAGATGTTGCAATTCTGGGTCCTGTTTCTGACATTCAGCAATGGCGGAGAAATCTGTTGTTGATGGCAACTGAACCTCTTCAATTCTGGACAGAGCATCAGCAACTGTATTTTGAGGGCCTTCTACATGCCTAAAATCGGTTGTAAACTGCGCTATGTAATCAAGATGACGCATTTGCCTGGGAGAAGCCTTGTCAGGCTTTTGTCGAAAAGCGAAAATTAGCGGCTTGTGGTCGGTATAGATAGAAAACACACGACCTTCTACCATATGACGAAAATGTTTAACAGCCTCATACGCACTAAGAAGTTCGCGGTCGTACGTGCTGTATTTTGATTGCGCTGCAGAAAATTTTTTCGAGAAGAAAGCCAGAGGCTTCCATGCTCCGTCTACCAGTTGCTGCAAAACCGCACCCATGGCCGTATTAGACGCGTCAACCATTAATGCTAAAGGGTGCTTAGAAGGATAGCTAAGAGCTGTTGCCGACGCTAAGTCATTCTTACATTGTACAAAGGCTGTACGGGCATCATCAGACCAAATAATTGGCCGCGTATCTTTCTTTTTACTCCCAACCAAATATGTGTGCAAAGGTGCCTGCTTTTCAGCGGCATGAGGAAGAAAGCGACGATAAAAATTTAACATGGCCAGAAAACGACGCAGCTCCTGAACAGTTTTTGGCTCTGGGAAATTTTGAATTGCAGTGACTCTGTCACTAAGTGGGCGAACGCCCTCCGAAGAAACTTCGTGACCAAGAAATGACACTTTAGATTTCCCGAAAACACATTTTGATGGATTAATGACTACACCATAAGACTGAAATCGGCCAAGGACTATGCAAAGGTGTTCAAGGTGCTGGTTTTCAGTTGTCGAGGCTACCAGAATGTCATCGAAATATGGGACACAAAAATCTAAATCTCGAAGGACTTCATTAATGAAGCGCTGAAACGTTTGCGCAGCGTTACATAACCCGAAAGTCATGACAGGAAATTCGAATAATCCAAAAGGTGTTTATACAGCAGTTTTTGGTATATCAGGTGGATTGACAGGGATCTGATGGTAAGCACGAGTCAAATCTAATGTAGAAAAAAATATTTTTGCCTTCCAAGACGTGCATGCAGTCCTGAATACAAGGAACCGGATATCTATCAGGCAAAATAACTGAATTAAGACGTTGATAATCCCCACAAGGACGCCAGTCGCCGTTTTTCTTAGGGACCATGTGGAGTGGACTGGCCCATGAACTTTTAGATGGCCGACAGATTCCTTGCTCAAGCATGTATTTAAATTCTTCTTTTGCAGCCTTTAATTTCTCTGGAGGCAACCGCCGTGCTTTGGCAAAGATTGGTGGTCCAGTAGTCTCTATGACGTGTACAATACCGTGGTCAGCAGTCGGTTTGCCAGTTACTGAGCGGATGACGTTAGGGTATTGCTCAAGTAGTTTGTGGAAAGGAGAATTACCGGAAATTAATTTAATTCCAAAATTAGTGGCATTTCCAATGCTACCTACCGCGGACAATGTGTGTGATGGAGTCGAGTAAGCGTCGATTTTTAATGTCGACCAACAGAGAAAATTTTTGCAGAAAGTCTGCACCAATTATTGGGTGCGAAACCGCAGCGATGACAAATGGCCATTGAAATTTGCGACGCAATCCTAGATCCAAAGACATTAATATTTCTCCATATGTTGCAATTTTTGACCCGTTAGCTGCAAATAAGTTAAATTTTCCAGGCGGCCGTTTGGATTCGGCAGAAGAATGAGGTACAACCGAAATGTCAGCACCTGTATCAACAAGAAAACGTCTGCCTTTATGTTTGTTACGAACAATCGACTAATGCACGGGCCGTTGTCACTCATGGCTTCGAGTGACGGCCCCTTCTGTTTAAAGAGGTCTTCTGAAATTTGCCCATGGAGGCGTACACTTGCGCGCTTTATCACCGAATCGGCTGTGATAGAAACAAATGTCTGATTGAGTACCAGAATGAGCGCGTTGGTATTCCCTATTATTTCGGTTCCGGGACTTTGATCTACCGCGCGGATGATACTGAGATTCTGTGATTCCTGTAAGTTGCTGTTGCGACCTGCAATGATAATTGAGCACATTGGATTCTGCATTTTTGACAATAAATGATAATTGACCTTGTGATTTTATTTCATAAACTGTTTTCAATTCCTCGTATTTATTATCCGAGGGGGGCTTCAGAACAATCTCGCGTACTGACTGAAGAACCTCAGTGTCGAGGGCGGAAATCGCAGTATAAAATTTCGTGTCGTCGCGTGTTATACCCCCGAGCTTGAATTGTGCATCTAATTGAAAAAAACCAAAGGTTGGGGTCACTACGGCAAAATGGGGCAGGTTTCACAGCAACGCGAGCCATTTGTTTGTCATCAGTGGCTAGAGGATCGCTAGTAGCCATAATAAATATGAATAAATACAGATAACCAAAAAAACGATATAGTTCAAGAATATTGTTGCAGTACACGTGAAGAAACATAAAATAATTAATGTTAGGACCTGGGTTCAAATGAATATACGAAAAAAACTCACACGCTTGACGAATACATACGAATCCATGTGCGGAATAAAAGGTAGAAAATATCACCTTGATGTACAGAAATTATCCACTCGCTTGATGTTGGAACACTATCACTAATGGAAGATGAAGGTAATCCGCATGTCTGAAAGATGATCACAAATGGAAACATGAAGGTAATCCACGTGGCTGTAATATGATGAAACTGATGCACGATCCAATAGACACGATAAGTAATCCAATACACATAAGTAAAAAATATTGGTTCAGCTGCATTTCGCACATTATTACAAGGTCTTGTTTAAGCACAAAATTTCTGCTGTACTATAAATTTCGACGATTCATTTGGCTTAAGCCTCACCGTCCTGAAGTCACCATTTGTTGCACGTGGTTGCGGCTGTGTGCAACAACAAACTATGCGTATTGGAATTTTCCAATGCTTTTAAGGATGAATTCATAACATGCCATAAGAGCCAATTTTTTGATAACAAAAACATTTAATCACATCACAATATTAAAACTTAATTACTACAGTCGACAGACAATCACGTTGGAGGAAGGCTCCTATAAACCAGGCTGAATCATCAGGCATTCGCGCTCCCAAGTGGGAGATTTAATGGCGGCTGAGTGGTTAAGGTGCAACAATTTTTTGTGTTTTTTTGTGTAAAATGGGCGGATGTACAGCTATTAATTGTTCAAATCATTCACGGAAAGGTCATACATTGGTAAAATTTCCTAAAAATGAAGAAAGAAGAAAAATATGGGTAAATAATTGCCGAAGAGACAATTGGAAACCTGGTCCAGGCGCTGAACTTTGCTTAGTAAGTATAATGTTAATTACGCCTTCATTTAGAGTTTATATCTTCTCTGATGTTTATAATGTGCAAGTAAAGTGAAATTCTTGTGTACAATAACCTGAGTATCTGCTAATTTCTGTAATAATAGCTATAATTAAATTAGTCTAGGGTTAATGTACCCGTCGCCAAACATCGCCAATGTAGATGTTTTGAATGTGGAAAAGAAATTTCTCTTCTAATATAAAGCGCGGATTTTGTTTTCCTGTGCTAATTGTGGAATTTATACTAATGTAACATGAAAATCATTAGCATATTGAAATTTATTAAAAAATAAATAATAATTTGGAAAGTCAAGATAAAATCTGAATGTTTGCTAAAGATATATGTAACATTATACTATAGTTGCAATATCGTTGGAATGATATATAATTTTTTTCTTTATTTTATAATCACTATTGTTAAAAAGTTAGATGAGTTGTTTATGCACGGTGCCCACTACTGTTTCTTGGTTAAAATAACTTCCAGAATTTTGACATTGACATCTGAAGTCAATAGAATAAATTGAATAGTGTGAGACAAAATATATATAATCTGACTTCAATAATTGCAAGGATTGTGCAAGTTTATTTATAATCACAGTATTATACAATTTGGCAATGGAGTAAAGATTTAGAAATGAATGCAAAAATTCAAATTAGTATTTTCTTGTTTCTAATATATAGAAATATAGTCTATTTTCCAGTATAAAAGTTTTACTTAAAAGTATGGGAAAGCAGATTTGTTTCATGCATGATCTTTATAATACTGGTATGAAATGAATGAATTTTAATCTGTAAACAATTTTTTGTTAATATTGAAATGCGTTTCTTTGGGTACATTTTTAGGCACTTGTGGATTATGTCAGGCAACATGCAATAGAAAAAAGATGTCCGTGTGTGCATAAATTTTCCCATTGTGTTACTTCATTTTATCTAAATTTCAAGGATAATTCTTTTCATTTTTATATGGCATGTTATCAGTATAAAGGCTAGTGAAAATAAATTGGTATGTGTATCTGTTTTTGAAGTGTAATGCTTAAATAAAAAGATGGTGTGTGTTTCTTCATTTAAACAAAATTTCAAGGATAGTATTTTTCAGTGTTGTACTGTTTGTTATTTCTCAATGTAAAGGGTAACAAGGGGAAAAAAAACTGGTATGGTATATCTGTTTTTTAAGCATGATAATTTTATTTATTTCTTTAGTGATGCATATATATAGAGAGAGAAGGTGTTTGGTCCAACTGAAGTTATAATAAATCTAATTTTACTAGATCTCTCCCTCCCCTCAGGTGTAGAAAATTTTCAAGTGCAGAAAGTTTATTTGCAGAATTAATTCATTTCTGATAAACTTATTATCATTAATTTTTTATATAACATGTTATTAAGTTACACATTTGACTACTGTGTAATAAAATTGTATTTAGGGCAAAAAATTAACTATAATTTTGCATCTGGTGACTAATATCATATGCTTCTAAGAATATTACTTTAACTTTTTCCATAATTTTTGTATTTCAGGAACATGAAACTGTTATTTTGATATACTTAAATAATAAAAGTGTGTATCTGAATCAATTAATGGATACAAATATTTTACAGTTATTTTTAGAAGATATTTGCCATATCGCTTCTAATAATTCATAAAGTATGTTAAAATATAGGTAAATAATTTGGTGCAGAATTCAAATTTAGGGTTTTAAAATATAGTGAATCATAAGACTAAATGATTTTTATTGTCATGATTTGCCTGGGCTTAAGAATGTACTTTTCGCCCGGTGGAAATTGTCATCAAACTGTCCTGAACAGGCTTTTTGTTGATAATAACTTCCAGGCTTATCAGTACCTCCTTTTGAGTGGAGGGTATGCAAATATAGTACCCAATTTAAATTACATTGTGATTGTAATAATATTGTGGTATTAAATAAGTGATTATAATTACAATTTAGGTAATTGCATTGTAATTATATTACATTGTATCTGTGAACTCTTAATTTCATTACTTTATGCAATTATGTTGTAAGTGCATAATCTAATTGCAATAATATAATCTATTCGCAATTACAAAATAATTATAAATGCAGTTACATCTTAAATAGAGGCCATTTTAATACTTTTAAATTTTCGCAAGATAACTTCCCATTAAGGTTCATTTGGAGGAAACTATGCAAATACTAAAAAAGAAGTTATGCTAAATTTACATATTTTGTACAGTACTTTCTTGTTATAATGCTGTTCAATATATCTTCAATACTTTTGTAAATTTAACGACATTCTTTGCAATCACTGTGGTGCTTTAAAAAGAAGTTTCTTAGTTATGCTTTCTAATAAGAATGGGTTTTAAAATTAAAGTATTATGTATAATAACTAGCAGTTAAAAAAACTTGACTGCATGAAAATGCTGTTGCTGTGTAAAATAAAAAATAAGCTTTCTTTTATGCTTTGAAATGAATTACATGTGGTTAAGTCGTCCTTTTACAATTTAAGAATGTGGTTAACACACATTCTTAAATTGGACAGGTTTTATCTAAATTATTAGTATATAAAATATATAAACTATGAATTATTTTGTAACATAACTCAAATTACAAAATTCATTCTATATACGTTCAAAGTTATTATCTTTTATGGAATAACTGTTTTTTAATTTAGGTAAAAATTGGATTTTTAGAAGTATTACAAATACAATGCAACACAAAGGTGATCTGATTGGAAGAGGAAGGACTTTTTATTACGGTTTCTAGTTCGTATTTATATTACATTTGATGAAAAGCATCCAAAACACAGAATGCTGTACTTTCTTCTTCCATATATGTTATGAAATATTTCACACATTTAAAAGAAAGTGTTTCTTCAGAATCTTGCACAATTATTTCCATATACCTCAGACTTAAATGACAACATATTCTTAAGTTATTTTTTTAGTATGAATTTACAGTGTTTTTATGGAAATTTTTGTTAAAATGTCATTAAGATAAATTTATTTGCACACTCTACGCTTTAACTATTTCCCCATTTGACACTATTGAAAGTTTTTATTCATATCTTATTTATTTTAGTCTGCTAACGAAAAACTGAAACATCTAAAGAATAAGTTATTTTGAATATGTTTACAAAATATACGCGAAATTTTTATTTAAGTGAAAACGTCTATATACTATTCGAGAATTAATAAATTATCCGAAAAGTTTATATGCGCTGAATGCCGCGCGTCTATAAAATAAATCTTTAAAAAAAACAGCAGACATTCAGCCAGCGTGTGCGATAAACGCGCCAAAATTGGCAGCGCGTTCACTCCCTCGCCAAGAGAGAAAGTTGGTGATTCAGCTGGTTAAGGGCCTTAGGAAAGAGGCTACGACTATGAGTCGCGAAATACGTAATAGTATAAGGCTTGCGGTAATGTAGAGGTACTTTTTTAGTTAAATTACTGATGTATAATATTATGCTCGAATATTTTATCCAAACGAGTTCCGATCGGGAGCAAGATTTCGACCGAAATGGTTAGAAACGAGCACTACTCGCGTAGTGAAATATTTCTCCAATGCGCGCTGACGAGCTGAGCTCGTTCGCCATTATTATTCTGCATAGCTTATGTTACAAAGGAATCCTAGTCGCGAAATTTAGTTAGTTTTACTGTCTACAGATGGCAGTACGGGTTCCATGAATTTCTTTTCATAATGAAGGGAGAATTTTTTTCCTTTTACCTTATTCTTTTTATGCGTATTTTAGCGCGCTTTTTAGGGTGTTTGTAAAGTAAAATGGCTCCAAAGCAAAAGTTAGATAATTATGATGGTGATTATGATTGTAATACAGAAAGCTTATCAAGTTTTGAGTTTGATGAAGACTTTGTTCACAGTATATCAAGCTCAGAAGATGATTCAAGCGATGAGGAAGATTTTTCGAGTGTTCGAAAGTGGTGTAAAATTGATTCAAGTTCTCACGCTCCTAGCCGATTTAGTTTTACTGGTTAGTTTAGTTTACAATTTAGTTTTAAAGTATATCACACACAAAAAGATTTTTAGGTAATTACTGTATTTAATGCTTCATAAAGTTTACATTTGTATGTATTTAGTCCTTTTAATTTAATATTTGTCTCATATTTATATAAACTATTATTTATTTATATAATTGATTATAATCATAATCATCTATTAATATTTTAAAAGTATGTAAAAATGTTATTTATGTACTACAAATACTTTAAGAAATTTTTAAACGCGTGAGGTGAGCTATCGGCATCGCCAGAGAAGGGTGATGATATTTTCGAAGAAGCGGCGGGAGAAAGAGCTGGCACTTTCGAGTACTGTTTACTCGTAACACTGCGCGAATTAAGTAAACGAAAACTGCTCATTTCCCTAACCGTCAGAGGGTTAAAGAAATTAAATAATAAATCATCTGCATAAATGAATGTATGTTTCTCGTATTGTGATAAAACAACGGTATCTAAAGCCATCGAAATTTGAATAACGTAATCATAGGGCTTGTGGAAGCCCTAATTTGAATTTGAAATTTGTTTTATTATCGATTTCAGATTTTGTAACACTTCAACGAATTTTTCATTAAAAAACTAAACGATTTCAAAGCGAGCAATGGC